AACCCGCGTCTCCCCCCCCCCCCCCCCCCCCCCCGTGGGGTGATCAGAGGCCATGCACCCCATGAGCTGGGGGGAAGGGAAGGGGTTAAAGGCTGCGGTATGAAGGCAGCTGGGGGCAATAGGCAATCTGGGCCCAGGAGAGCTTAAATAAAGGAGGCAGGGGTGATGGGTGCTGCTGTGGGAGGAGGTACTGTTCTTGACATTTCTTGCTGTTGTTCTGTGCAGGAGCTGGGCTGAAGCTTTCCTCTCCTGCCAGCTGTGTGCCAGGGCAGTCGGGCTGGGGAGCAGCGGGCGCTTCAGCTGCTGGTTCTTCTGCTCTTGGGGAGTGATGTGGCTCTGAGAAGATGCTTTTTCTTTGTACTCTCTTAGCAACCTTCCCATGTCTCTCTTTTCCCAGTTCTGGCTTGTTGGAGGGGACTGCAGTGCCCTTCTGTGGTGTCCTGGGCAGTGGAGGTACCTCAGTGTCTGGACACGCTGCTTTCCTGCAGGAGAGGGGAGAGCAGCTTGCTGCTGCCTACACCCACTTGTGGGTGTCTGTTGGGGTTCTTCGTGCCCCTAGGCTCTGTACAGCTGTGGGAAGATGGCACTTTGTTGCTGTCCTCTGCCCCCATGGGCTTGTGCCAGGACTGCTTCTGTCTGCTCCTGCTCTGCCCTTTACAACTGACAATGGGCTGGGAGCTTTCGTTGATTCTGCTCCTCGGGTCAGGCACTGACTTCACGGTCTGCACCAGCGTGGGAAGGGGCTTCCATCCCTCCATCTGCTCCCAGGGCTCTGGCAATGTTATTCCTTGGTGTTAGTCCTTGCTGTGGTTCCTGCTCTCGAGGCTTTTAGGACTAGTCTGTATGCGAGTGAATTCTGGCCAAGGAAGTTTAACCAGAGAGATACCAGAAATGGGTGATCCCAAATTGGATCTGGGAAGCGGCAGCAAGGGCTCATCAAGGGGCACAGGCAGTGGGAAGGTGAGCAGCCCGGGGAAGTGTGAGGTACCAGTGCTGGCGTGTGCTGCAGCATCCGTGGTGGCAAAGGGCGCTTGAACTGCACTGCTGTGGGAGCAGATCCCTGCTGCATCTGCTAAGCTTTGGTGGCAGAAGCTTAACCACGAATAAGCTGCACCTGGAAACCCCCAAATGCCTGTACCCCCCACCAGACCTGATCCTTGTTAGTTCAAGCGACGGCTGGGCTGGAAGCTGGTGAGCTCTGGTTAAGTACCTTCTCTCCCTCTGATACTGACTGCAGCCTCTGTGAGTATGTACTTGAGGGAAAGAAAAATGCCTGGCTCTGGAGGAGAGCTGAAAGCCTGTTCTGGCCAGTAAAGGCTAATTAGCTCATGGTGATCCTAGAGCAATGCACATTAATTTCTCCAGGATGCTTTGCTGAGAGCTTCCCCTGTCCTGTCCCTTCTCCTTTGCATGGTGGCTCTCACTGCTGCAGTGTGATGTCCCTGCAGATGCCACCCCTCCCCAGGGCCAGTCTGTGTTTGTACTGCTCCCACTTGGGAGGCCTGTCCCCCACCAAGAGCACTAGCTGCCAAATGCAGAGTGGAAGTCTGTTATTTCTAATAACAAACACTGGGCTGCTGCTAGGAGCATCCCTGCTTGGCTAAGCGTATTTGTAGTCGGCTTATAATGTGAAGGATCCACTCTGCAGAATTGTTGAGCTTGACACCTACACTGATATAAAAACATTTTATTGTCTGCATAATAGCCACCTTTAATGCTTATTTTTCACTTACTGCAATACATGGTTTAGTGAGGAAATAGCCCCTTGGTGTCTCTGCTGAGTGCTGACCTTGCCTGTTGTATACTGCTATCACAGTAAAGTATACAAATATGGAAAATCGCTGCTCCCCTCCTGGCAGGTAAATGCTTTTGAGAAGAAAGCGCTGCAGCCTGCAGTAGTGCTGATTTTTCTCTCCCATCTCTCAGGTCGGGGGGAGCTGGGAAAGGATGCTCCTGCCACAGCTCCTGGCACTCCTTCCTTGTGCTCTCTTTCTTTATTTTCAATGCTTTCCTTTGGCCAAACAGGCAGAACAATTCTAGCAGGACCATTAAGCCAAGGAAGAAGAGGGTGATGGAGATGGGAATGACCCTGCGCTGTAGCTGCAAGACTCCTGCTCCCATGGC